TTTTTAAGTTCTACATTCCTACAATATTTACACTATCATGCTGTCTTTGAAGTTCAGTATATATCAATCTGTTAAGTGTCTCTGGAACATACTGGATTTCTCATTACATGATCTAAACATGTAGTAACTTGGTCATCTGGCTGTCCATTAGTTGCAATGACGGGCTGTGGTTGGTTTGGAATCTGAGTCTTTTTTTTCTTCTTTTCTTCATCTGTCATTTGTAGAGTTTGGTCTGATTGTTCTTCTATCAAAGATCCATATATCAGGGTATTGTCCATGGAAACCACAACTCCATTTGTGTTCATAAACAATTCTGCCATCTTTCTTTGCAAAATTTCAGGTGCACAGGTAATCTTCAAAAGCAAAATCTTCCAAAGGGTGTAATAAATGTAGTCAGTTTAGCACTTTCTTTGGATAAAAGAATTTGCCAGAATCCACTTAGGCATCCATCTTGGGGGAATACTGTACCTCTTTTCATTTTGGGCAGAAAGTCCTATGGGGGTGATATATATATATATATATATATATATTTTCCCCCCTCAGAACTGTTTCATTAAGTCTTTTAAAATTCTCACATTTGTATTTCTCCACTTTCTATATAACTGATACCAATGAGGCACACCATGCTGTTGGCGCCGATTTTCTTGATTATGCCAATCCACTCCATTCTCTTATCTCAGTTTCCACATTATGTAGTAATCTGACAGGAATCCTGTGAGGTGTATGTACATTGTATTGTTCAGCATTGTCTCTTAAGGTTACTTGGACTTTTGAAAGGAGATCTAGTACAATACCACCAAATATTTCATCAAGTTCTTCCACAGTTCTCAGTAGGCTCATCATGGCTGCCACAATGCAGCTGAGAAGACTTTTGGTTTGTGGTTCTTTGATCACATGCATTCTGAATGCATGGCTTTTGGTAAGTGTTTTTTTTTTTCTCCCCAGTGGTGAACAGGACCCATGCAGTTCAAAATACCTCCAGGGCTAGTCAGAGTTGTGTCAGGTGACTTCATCTCTGGGAGGGGTTGACGGTGATTGTAAACTCCTTCTGAGATGACTGACATCCGCCCCTGAGTCAATTTTGATGTCTATAGTCTTGCCATGAATGTTCCTTTTCATACTCTGTGAATGCTCTATCATCACAAGTGACAGATCCCAGAAATGATGAATCGTGGTTGTCTGTAATACAAGTCAACTACCTGACTGCTTTAGTGCAGCAAACAGCTGTAAAATGTCCCTATTTCATGCATTTATTACACTGTGCGCCCCAACTGGACATGCATCATCTCTTGGGATATGACTTTTTTCCCCCCACACATTGTGCATGTAGGTTGAAATTTGTCCGTCTTAGCCTGAGAGGTTTTTTTCTCTCCTTGCCTCAGGTGTTTTATGATGACACTTTATAACACTCAAGTGTCTGTTTACAGTTTTTCTAAGCTAGCATCAGGTTTTTTCAAGTTTCTCTAGACTTTGCTATTTCAATAGCTGTGGCTAAGGTTAAATATCCTGTCAATTGTAGCTGCTGTGAAAGGTTTTTATTTGTTATCAGAAACCAGCTGGTTACTAGGTTAGGTTATGTTCATGTTTTCCGTTCCCAAAATCACTTTTCAGTCCGTGTATGCAGAGCTCTTACAAAACATTCAGCATTTTCCCCCTAGTTCTTTAATTCTCTGGTGAAAACATGCTCTTTCATAAACCATATAAAATATACATTGAACATAGCCGGAACTCTTTCATAGTCATATTTGTGACTTCTTCAGTAACGTCAAAGGATTTAAAGATATGCTCTGCTTGCTTCCCCATACTATATATTAATGAAGATACCTGTATATCTCCAGTTTCTTTGTGGAGTTTGTTTGCAATTCAAAATCTTGCAAAATACTGCTTCCAGTCTGATTCTGAAGGTTTGTCAAAGCTGAAGCCCTCTGGGGCATTGAAGAGTGGCATGTTAATGAGATTCTGCAAACTTTGTTTTCTCCTTCTGTTTCTGGTCTTCATTTTACTCCTGACATCATGCCATGTTCTTCTCTATCACATATAGACTGGCTACAGAGCTTGCTTATACACCAGATGTGTTCATTATAAGATCCTTTAATCCTCTGCCAGGTATGGCTGAGGTGTGTTTAAATAAAGTACGTTCTTCACTCAGCCACCTAGTGGCTGAACAGAGTAATACAGTTTAGGCATTCCATTACACCAAAATAAAATATTAAATTAATAATCTCTTCTAGGCTAAAGCTGCTGCCTACAATTAAACTCAAGGTTTAAAAATGTATGTTCTGAGCCATTGGGTGGTGAGCAGGGGAGGGGAGGAATATCCCTGACATAGGATATCTCCCATAGGCCTATGGAACAGAATGCTTTTTGGACTCAATGGATGACTTAAGTGGCACAGAAGATTGTACTTGATGAGCACTGCCGTCACAAGCGGTTGTAATCACTCATATAAAGTAAAAATCGACAGAGGTATTGGAAGATCATGTGAAAGTCTTCAAGCCAAATATCACAAAACTGAACTACCAAGTTTCAGGCGATTCCCACTCTACTTATCCTGGCAATATGAGGGTTGAGGTTTAACAGAAGATCATGAAATACATTGATTCAGCAAGGTGCAAGCAGTCACACTGATTCCTGTTGCTATCAATGGGAGCTGAGGGCATTTAGTACCTTGCAGAAGACTTCTATATCTTGCAGAATTGGGCTCTAAGATCTATTTCTCCTCTCACATCCATGTAACTCAATTGACTGGAGTATATAAGACGAGTATCTGGCTCTAAGTATCTTATACTTGGGAGACATGCTTCAGAAGTGATCTTATAAGTGCCAGATAAAATGGCTTCTGATGTATATGCCAGGGTGGATGAAAATTGATAATTTTTTTTAACATGCAGAGCTGTTACATTTAAATGACTGACTTCCATATAACTATGGTCTTGAGAGAGTCAGTTACACTTTCAATAGTCTTAACAAATGCCAAGAAAACAAGGGTTGGCCAATGTCCAACTGTGGATGGAAATGACCTACACTAGTGAGGAATTTGAAAACAGTTTATGGTTTTTGAACTTTGAAGATCTGGGATATTCCTGTTAATATATTTGTCCTTTATAGTATTAGAAAGCAGAACTCTTCCTTTTTTATTTCTTTCTATTACCACATTCAGATAACAGTGTGAATACGCCTAGCAAACTTCATAAATTTCAGTTACCTTTAGTGAGGAAAATAATGGCTGTTTGAGTTCTTACTTATAAATAACAGAATGATCATGTTCTTGAATTTCCCACTGTATAACCAAAATACATTTTAGAGAGTTGTACTATAGAGTATAAATGATTTGGCCATATTAAAAATGTATAAATGTCACTTTAAAGTGTTACCAGGATTATACCTTAGTTCCCCCATCTGGATCTGTGGAATAATAATACTTCCTTACCTCACAGGGTTGTTATGAGGATCAAACCATAAATGTATTGGAGGATCTTGCCTACTATTCTGGCAAGTGCTATAAAAAACCCCTGTAAATTAACCTGTCCAGAAAGAATTTGATTTACAATAACCGAGTGTGTCCGCTAGTTGGAGAGTGTCTCTCTGTGTGTATGTAATATCAGTAGGTTTCAGTCTGTGGCATTCTTGTCACTGGGCCAAGAAGTCATATTTCACTGTCAAGTCCTTTAGCAGGACTTGAGCTCGCACCCAATATTGACGCTGCAGTGCCATATTATTAGAGCTGCCATCCTTCAGACAAGATGTTAAACTACAACCGGTCTTCCTGTTTCTTGTGGCTATCCTGGTGGAAACTAAAGATCCAATGGCATTGCATATGTTTTTTTTTTTAAAGAGGTTAAAAATTCCAACTGTCCTGTCCAACATTCCCTCTCTCAGTAAAACAAGCTCTAATATCCAAGGAACTGAATGAGATATAGCAGAATCGGCAATGGTTACCAGTTATTTGCTTGCACAATTGTCTTATTACTAACATCTATTTACTCTTCAACAGGAGGACACAATATAGAAATGGGTCAGAAGCAGAGTACCAGATCCAACTGCCGTCAAACTTTGGTGAAGTTTGTATCTAGATTTGAACTTTTGTGGCTCACACCCATTTCTACACAATAGTTATCTGGTGATTTGGTTGTTTGCCCACACTATAAATAAGTACTGTGTATAGGAGAGTTTCTATTTAGCTTTGAGGATTACCTGGGAAAAGACTCTTTCCAGTTTAACACTTTAAAAGGATTGTTTCAGGTTTGACTTTTTTCCCTCTTCCCTTCTTCCTTTTCAACATTAGCATATGGATATAATAAAGTGAAGATCAGAGCTGGCAACTTACAGGAAAGGAAGCGTACTGGGGTTGTAATTGAGATGTTATTGCCTACCACCATGGTGTATATTAGCTTGAATAAAACATGCAGTCAATAAAATAAAACAAAACAATAAAACTAAGCCCATTGGTGATCTGTTATAGGGTGTGATGCAACACACAAACCTGCAGTCATAAAACGGAGGGAAACCTTACACTTTCAGGAACAAAGGCATCCAAGCATTAAGTTGGAAGCAGTGCTGTCCAGCACTAAAGTTCTATTCTCTTTGCACCTGGAAGTAGTTATCTTTAAAAGCCATACAGGTTTATACTGTTCTCTTCCAATTTTGAATAAGGCCTTCAGATGTTCTTGTTAGATGCTTATATAGAAATGTGGTTTTAATTAGGGAACCCCAAGCCAAAAAGATAGATTGATTAGTCCTAGACATAAAGACCTAGTGTTCTTAGAGTTCTAGGTGTGGGGACTATATTTTATATAATTATAGGTGAGCTCTTAAAGTACCGCATTATACAGTGCAACTTTATCTTGAATAGCATCTTTCATACAAACTGTATCCTAAACCATTTTGCAGAGTTAATAATTTGAGAAATAGTTGCTGAAGGAGGAAAAATTAAGATGTATAAGCATGGGAGGACAGATCTGTTTTCAGCTGTCAGATTTTACTGGCAATTATCCATAATTCATGTGTGATAATTAGAGATGATAAAATAAATCATAATGAATAATTCATCAGAATTGTACCTCTTTTCTGATCACATTGTCTGGGAGCCAGTAGGAATTTTCATGAATGTATTCATTGTTTGAAAGTATTTGCCGAATAATTCTTGGTCTGTAAATTAATGGATGTGCTAGTTACAAGATATGATTCTGATTGGATGAGCATAACTCTTAGAATCAGGCAGCTGATTGTAAGCTCTTTGGGGCAGGGACTGTCTTTTGTTCTGTTGGTACAGCCCATAGTACAATGGGGTCATGGTCCAGGATGACTCCTAGTTGCCATGGTAATACAAACAATTGATGAAGGTAATGATTCTTGGCTTGTTTAAATCTCATTGCTTCCACAAAACATTCCTGCCAGTTGTTCATGAGACTGTGTGTGGGAGAGGAAGCACCAGGGGCACATACAGTCTAGAAAGGATGAATATTGACGTGGAAGGGGAATCCTCTCTGATGTCGTCACCTCATCCTAGTGGTGATAAAGACTGTCATTGTCAGTGACTGGTCTGGATAATGCTTCATAGTCTCTCAGCATTTCACAGTTGGGTATACCTAACAGGTGGGGAAACTGGGGTTCCAATTAAGGCATTTGGCTACAGACTCGCATTATAAGTTCTTTTGGGCAGGGACCATCTTTTTGTGACGTTTGTATAATGCCCAGCTCAACAGGGTCCTGGTCTGTGACTTGGGGTCCTATGCACAATGGTAATATAGATATTCAGGCCTCATCAGAACTAGGGTTGGAATCCAGGTCTTCTGACTATTAGGCCACTGCTTAATCTATCAGCTCTCTATGCCTCTTAGGCAAGTCAATTAACTTCTATGAACCTCTGTTTCCATACCCGTGAATTGGAGCGGTGATCTTTGTCTATTTCAAAGGGTTGTTGTGAAGCCTTGCTGAGTATTTGCAGAGCACCACAGGCAGTATATGAGTGTATAGTGTGGTTGTGGTCTCCCAGGAGAGCATTAGAACTTACTGTGTAGTAATAGTGTTACTCTTTCAATTTGGTGCCAAAGTATGGCTTTACTATGAAGTATAACAATCAAGGCATTTGATTATTCCTTCCAAGAGAAATGGACTGCTATGCCATACGTTCTTTAGTAAAGCAAATATTTTAAAGATAATTGGGGGTACAGTACAACTTTGTACTCCTTCATGGAAGCATTTGATAAATTCTAAAACCATCTTCTGTTTTTTATTGATGAAAAAATATTTAAGGAATGTAACACCAATCTGTCTTCTTTTATATTATGAAATCAAGTGCCAGAAACATTTAATATTGCTCACCATAATATGAAGGTTATTTCATGAGCTAAACCTAGCCCATTTACCTAAATATTTTCTCCAGCTAACACACTTACCTATGCTGGGAGTTGCCGACATCTGGCCCTTTCACTCCACGTTCCAAATCCAGGCACACTCACCTAGAGTACAACACAAAGTAGTGGCTATTTTTATTAAGCAAAATTCCTATTAATTCCAGCTGTAAACCATGCAATTAACCCTTCTAGAAACAAGAAAGTGTTTTCCTGTGCCTGGATCTGATTTAATATATAATCACTCTTCTCCTGTCACCCTCTTCACTGCACCCACATTAGTGCATCTATGCAGTACTGCTGCTGTTCATGTGTAGTTGTATGCAGACTGAAGACATCTACACAAAAGAAATTCACCAGACTAAGAAATTTGTTAACCACCTACACTGTTTGCAACACACTTGTACTCCAGGCAGTTTATAAGCATGCTACCAGCTGTGCTACCTAGACTATCATTTTTTTAAGGCTAAATACCAGTTTAAGCCTGAATCAATTTAGCATCCTTGTGGATACAAACAAGCTGAAAGGGTTCAAATATTCTCAGTACTGTTACATTGTGCACGACTGGGTTTGCAGAATCTCCTGGAATGCACTGTGGTTGGGAACTGAGATAGGTACTCAAGCCATTGCAACTGAATCAGTTTAGAACAGTGGTAATGTGGATGCTTTTTGAACTTGCAATGGCTGATGTGCATGGACATGAACCATTTATGCTTAAACTGTTTTGGTTAAAAATGGTTTCATTCTTGAATGTGGACATGACCAAAGGGCCTAATCCTGTCAACACTTAAGCATGTGTGATGCTTTCCTCATGTGAGTAATCCTGTTGACTTCCTTTGAAGGTAAAGCTATGCACGTGCTAAAGCATTTGTAGAATCGGGCCCTAAATGTGCTTGCTTCAACAAAGAGATGTTGCTAACCTTCTTAGATATTGAACTCCTGCTCTGATTTATTAGTTAAAAGAGCACTTTATAAAGGGTATTGTAAATGGACTTAGCAGTAGCAACACAATATGATGCTCTTTATACTGAATTTCTTCTATCCATCTATACCCCAAATATAAAAATTGATAACATTGTTCCTGATTTTGTTTAATCTCATAAATTCTTTTATGATCATATGAACATAAATCATTCCTAGCAGGAATTAGACACATTTTCTACTAGTTACAGCTGTCAGGTCTACTGCTATTATTACAGCTTGACTGAGGATGTCCATGTGTAAAAAAATTATTTACCGCCTACCTTTGAACACAAAGCAGAGATGTCACTTAGGTTTGGCCTACACTTAAAAGTTAGTTGACAGAGCTTTGTCATTCAAGTGTGTGGAAAAACCACATCCCAGATGGACATAGGTATGCCTATCTCACCCCCAGCATAGATGCAGCTATGGTGACAGAGTGCTTCCATCAATGTGGCGAACGCCATTCAGGGAGATGCTGTTCCTCCCCTGAAAGACAACACTTTTTGTTGTTAGTGCAGGCTGTGTATACACTATGTGGTTATATCGGCATAGCTACTCTGACTGAGCTATGCCAAGATAGGCCTGGTCTTAGGGTGACCAGATGTCCCGATTTTATAGGGACAGTCCTGATTTTTGGGTCTTTTTCTTATATAGGCTCCTATTACCCCCGCCCCCACCGTCCCGATTTTTCACATTTGCTGTCTGGTCACCCTACCTGGTCTCCACTACTGGGAGATCAGCGCTGCTGAAATCAATGCAGCAGAGGCCGATTTTAGTGAGTTTAATAAAGACCTGATAAATCACCAGCAGAGCGCTCTCCGGTCAACTCCCCCCGACTCTCCAGTCGACTTCCCTTACTCTTCTCGGAGAGTGTCTCCCATCGACTCAGTGCTGTGAAGACACCGGGTAAGTCGACCTAAGCTACATCAACTCCAGCTACGTTATTCATGTAGCTGGAGTAGCATCCCTTAGGTCGACTTGCTCCTGTAGTGAAGACAAGCCCATAGTCTCCATAGTGTAGACACAGCCTTAGCCAAGGCAGAGGGGTAGGCCTGGAAACACACTCCCTAAAGAGGGGAAATGAATCTGCCTTTAATGTATAGCTGGCAAAGGCTTTAGAAAGAAAGCTGTTTCTTTACAATCTTCCCCCCACCCTGTACTTTAACTACTAAAGTCTGAGGCCTGGCCTACACTACACAGTTAGGTCGACATAAGGCAGCTTACGTCAACCTAATTATGTCAGCGCACACACTCTCTACAGCCTTGCTCCTGCCAATGTAAGTGCCCTATTACACCAACATAACTCCACCTTCGCAAGGCATAGGGCTGAGGTTGTAATTACGGCTACACAGTGTCTGTGTAGACACTGCTTTACTTTAGTTGCCCAGCTTTCATGTCAATTTCACATCGCTCATGAAATTGACAAGACAGCCGACAGCCAGAGACTAGCTGCCCCCGGCTCCCCACTCCTAGCCAGGCTGCCGCCCAGAGGCTCCCCACTCAGGGAGCTGAGAAGCCTGGTTGGCTGTCTCCCTCTCCCAGCTGGGAGTGGGGAGCCGAGAGTCCAGGGGGGCGGCTGGGCTCCTGGTGGAGAGCTGCATGGAGCTGAGAGCCCTGGCTCTTAGCCCCTCACACTGCCCATCTTCAGTGAGGACGTGCACCACTGACAGCAAGAGGGTAGTGTGATCATTAGCCACCGCAGTCATTATTTCAGCGGTAGTAAGTCAACCTAACATAAGTCGAATTAGGGCTGTAGTGTAGACATGTCCTGAGTTTTTGGTGAAGCACAAAACTGAGCTGAAAATAATGAAAATATTTTTGAAACATGATGGAAAATTCTGAAAATTAGAGACAGATGACTTAGATATCGTCCCAATACATAATGTTCAATCCTTGGACTGCAGCCTTTGCAGCTGAGAATTTTTTTTTAGGAGTGATTCAGTTGGCTGGCTGAACTGTGTGAATACATGTATTTTCCAAGTCTACAGTATATGTACTCTGTGAATAGTAACCTGCAAATACGTCCAATAAAATTTTTTGTTGCGTTGCTTTGGGTCATGAGAAGTTAGAATTTTATAGCATTTTCCAGTAATTTTTTTTCTCCTGCAGACCATAAATGTAAACAGTACAGAAAAGGCTTGTCTGAAAAAGTATCCTGTTGCAATCAAACATTTAGTGTTTTGTAAATTCTATTAAGAATGCTTATTTTTAATTACCTGTTTAATTTGGGTGTTGTGCTTGAAAAGACACTAGTATTTATTACATATCTCTTCATAGTCCTTTAACCTTTTTCAGGCTGCAATGAAAAAAGTGTTCACATCTTATGTAAAGGGAAATGAGGCTTCTTTAAAAAGTATAGTCTAATGACTTGGTGGCAGATGCTCTTAAGATACTGAAAATTGGGACGACTGAAACTATTATTCATTCTTGGAGTTTATTGCTGCAGGCTTGCTGTCACTGACAAGTATTCCCACCAAGTGGTGCTAATATGCAGTAAGACTGAAAATAACCAATTGATAGACAATGAAATCAGAAAGAGGGAGATTAATTGTGATGAAGTCTCTGGAGAGAAATACCATCTGCATGGTGCTTTTAAGGAGTACTTGTTTATACAGAGTATACTATGTTAAAATGCATAGGAAAGTAGCCCTTAAACTGGAATCCAGCTTGCTAATAACTACATAAACTATTTAAAGGTTGTGAGAGTACAAGATCTGTGCCTCCACACAGCTGGTGTTGGATGCCATCACTCAGAAAACTTCATGCTACTTTTGAGCAACAGAGAGTCTCTATTTTGAATATCAATGAGTGAAGTCAACTGTCCCTTAATTTATACACATTGCCAGAGATTGTCCCAGGGTTTGGAATTAAATACTCCAACACAAATCTCTTTAAACCTCTCCTAAAGAAGAAATTATGCTAAAGCTCTTTAGTAAGGAGGTTCTCTCTCCTGTTGAAATAAAAATCAATTATGTTTGCTCTGCTGTGAACAATGTCACTCAGTAGCCCTGCTTTCTAATTGGCTAATGCCTTAATGACCTGCTGGGAGGCTGTGATGCATTGCTTTGGACCCTCTCGGCAGGCTTTTAGACTACCAGTCAGATGTCAATGAAGCCTGACTCAATAGGGGTTCTCTTTCTAAAATTCCATTATTCATCCTGGTTTATGCAATAAAATGATCACAAAATAAAGCCTTCACATCAAGCCAAGTTTTAAAGAGAATTATAGATACTTTACTTCATTGTTAGACTCTAGGATTGTTACTGGTTTAGAATTAGGTTTTTTATTACATTTGATGAAAACCTTTTTTCAGTTTTGACGTTTTTCTGTTAAGCATTGAACAAAACAACTTTAAAGAGTTTGTGTGTGTGTGTGTGTTTGAAAATAAGATTAATCTACAACTGTTTTGTTAAACCATGAAGCAAAAGTTCCCAAAAATTTTTTATTTAAAAAGGTAAGTGAATGGTAACTCAGACCTTTCTTTCATATGTCGAATTGTTTTTTAATTAGAATTGGGATACAGTTTGGCAGGAATTACATATTTGGCTGCTATTTTCTTCATAATGGTTTATTTCAGATCAGTGAAAATTTGTTTTAAATCTCTTGTGGTAGAATGCTGATAATCAAAATGGATACTTGCAATACTAAAGGATTTGTGCTGGTACTCTGCTCAGGGACCGCATGGAGCTTAAGTAAGCTGCCTCTTTTGTGTAGAGAAGATGCTTTGCTTCATGACAGCCTAAGGACATGTAACTAAGAAAGGTGGACATAAGATGGAAAGTGCTATTCTTAGTCAAAATATATATTAATTTTAAAAAGTAAAAAGGGAATGACAATAGTGTGTTTCTAACACTGCTCCCCGGGCAAGTTTTATAGCTATTTAAACACTGGTAACTCTATTTAACAACAAATTAGTAGCTACCATAGCAACTGCATGTAATAATTTATTCATGCTACCTCTGAAACACAAAGCACCTTCTTAAAGTAACTGATGCATTGTGTGAAATTTGTATTTTTTCCAAATTTGTAAGGAAGTCATCCCGTTACAGGAAAATGTCATATTTTCCCCTACGTTATAAATATTTGATATCTATAGCAGAACTTACTTGGTTCTGTTTTTCCTTATTCCGTGTCCTTTGTACAGAACCATAAAGACAATTTGAATTCTATAATTCAAATATGAAAGGTCATGCAGACCAAGGGCATGACTTTCAGAAGTGCTGTACACCCATAACTCCAATTGAAGCCAATGGGAGTAGAATGTCCTCAGTACTTCTGACAATCGGGCTCTCATCTGTTACTCTCTTACCCCTACAAGTGGTCCCTTGAGGGCAGAGCAGAGAGCAGCATGGCTAAACTTCCATTGCCATTGCTGTACTCAATGATAAATACAACAGTTCAGTTTCCAGAGCTGTGACTCTATCCACTTCCAGCATCCCTAAACAAAAGTTAATCCGATATTATGCCCTTCCTCCCAGTTCTGTCTTCTAGCACACTTATTCCAGAATCAAGAGTGTATGATCCCTGAACATAAGAGTGGCCATGCTGGGTCAGACCAAAGGTCCATCTAGCCCAGTATCCTGTCTTCTGACAGTGGCCAATCCCAGGTGCCCCAGAGGGAATGAACAGAACAGGTAATCAAGAGATCCGTCCCATGGCATCCATTTCCCAGCTTCTGGCAAACAGGGGTTAGGGACACCTTCCCTGATCATCCTGGCTAATAGCCATTGATGGACCCTGCTATGCTGTTCTTAATGTTCTGGGCATGGATTACCATAAAAGAAGACGCTCATCAGGTCCACTTGATCTGAAAAGTGCCACAGTTTCTACACAGTCAGATTTTCTGGCTTTATGTTGATCTTCTCTTTAGTGAGGCATAAAACTTTTCTAGTAGACTCCTGCAACAAAATTGTTTCCTTTTTTCCCCCAGAGGTAAACACCACATAACCAACTCACCTAGTAGATTTAAATCACTGTATTTGAACCAATCAGGTTCCTTTACTCTGAGCTTTCAGCTGTTCATTAGCAGCACTTATAGTTTTAATGAACTGCAGTAGAAATAGCTCAAGTGATACATATGTACATTTCATAAGTGTCTGCTATGTACATGTATAGCCTATAATTAGCACTCTAAATATGAATAGCACTATAAGCAATTCCATATTATTGGTATTGACGTATGTTACAACCTCATTAATTCTCGTGAAAGATAGTTGGGGGGGGAAATGTTGTTGTTGCTATTCTGAACATGAGGGAAACCAAGGAAGGTAGGTAGTTTTCCCAAGGCCGCAAATGGGGGTTAAAACTCTGAAATTTCTGAATCTCAGCTCTGTGTTCAAACTTTTAGACCATGCTTCTTGCTTTCAGTCTAATGGTTAAAGGGCTGTTTTCAAGTCCTTTGAGGTTTCATCAGCTTCTGTATTTTTTAAACTCCATATTAAGTCACGCAAGGTCTTCCTGAGCAAAGAGTTTCTCTTATCTACTAGTCATTTCTTAGCTCCATCTCTCATCTATATATTACCAGTAATTATTTATACAGTCCCACCAAATATGCTAGGTATTCAGATGCCTATAAGACCGAGCACCCAGAACAGGTATAACTGACTACATAGGTTTCTCCTGACCACAGCCTCAAAATCTGGTTTGCCTCTGATATATAGTTATGGGACTAAGCCCTGAAATCTCAGCAATTTACTATACTTTTTTATAGTAGGAAAAGCCTATAATCCTTGAATAATCTATTGCACTTTGTCAAGAATGAAGTCTATTTTTATAATCCAAAATTTCATAGGTTGTTAATCAATTACTTGGTTTAAGATGAGAGAGTGAGATGACGATTTGAAGTATAGAGATCCAACAAATTCCATTCTTTGGAATCTAGAGTGGCTTGTTATGGATTCAGCCCTTATTTGATCTGGAAACTCTTAAAAAGCTGTTCTGTTTTTATAAAGGCTAGCCCCTCACCCAAATCATGCAAGATCCATTCTCTGCACATTTAATTCTAACCAGCAAAATAAATAAACTTGAGCTTGGAATAGTCTTGAACACTTGCTCATGTTTTCATAAAACTTACCCAGAAACTAGTATAAGTGCTAAGTAAAATATTCATTTCTGGCTGGACCAGACAAAATTTTCTTCCAGTGTGAACTGAGAGAATTATGGGATTATGGAATGTGACATGACACTCCCCAGGAAACCATAAAATATTCTGGCCCTGCAATCCCAGGACTGAAAAAGTCATTAGATTTACCTTTTTCTTATTCCTGCTGGGATATCTGTTTTCATTTACTATTTCTGTAGACCTCTTTGGCTGGCTGGGTAGAGACGGTTGAATTTTTTTTTATGTTTTATAAGGCATGTCAGGAAGAAACATGGTCACTACTTAAAACAGCATAAAGTCAATGTAAACTGTAAAAGTCAATGTACAAATGACATGATTTGATTATGGTCAAGCAATTGTATGGGCTTGGCACAGGCCTGTGTTGCCGGGTCAGGGAGTGCTTTCTGGTCTCCAGTGAGGAAGGGACTGGGGAACGGCTATTAATTGACTGCTTTTGAGTCTGAGTGCATGAGGGTTGGGCTTCACATTCAGGACTGAATTGAACAACAAGTTGGGGAGGTTTCTGTTACCTTTTCTGCGTATGTTGACTTATTTTGCTTTCTAAACATCTCTTGAGGAAAAGATCTTGCTGACATGCATCAATGGTATTTTCTCTGCATCAGCTTACAATCCTCATTATGTCATTTTTACAATAGGCCTCACTGCCCCATGTGTGAAAGCAGACAAAATAACGAACGGTAAATATTTTTCACTTAAAAAAACACCAAGAACCTAACCTGCTCTGATTTGGAGTCTGAAAGAGCTTAAAGGTTCTGGGGAAAACTTAACTCTGTGCAGAAGACCAGCACTGAAGACCTCAAAATAGGTCATAAGTGGTGCTTAAGAGATGCCCAGGCCTTAATACTGTCCTCTGTTCAGGGTGAATTTCACCCTATGGCATCAGGTGCTTGGTTTTTTCCTTACCTAATATCTCCCCTCAGATCATTCCTTTAGCATTTGAACAGCTCTGGATCTCCCTATATGGCACCATTCATCAGCTTTCTAACTTTTAAAATAAAAACCACTAAGCCCTGGTCTACACTACAAGTTTAGGTTGAATTTAGCAGCATTAGATCGATTTAACCCTGCACCCTTCCACATGACAAAGCCATTTTTGTCAACTTAAAGGGCTCTTAAAATCGATTTCTGTACTCCTTTCCGACAGGATTAGCGCTGAAATAGACCTTGCTGGGTCGAATTTGGGGTAGAGTGGACACAATTCGATGGTATTGGCCTCTGGTAGCTATCCCAGAGTGCTCCATTGTGACCGCTCTGGACAGCACTCTCAACTCAGATGCACTGGCCAGGTAGACAGGAAAAGCCCCGTGAACTTTTGAATTTCATTTCCTGTTTGGCCAGCATGGCAAGCTCATCAGCACAGGTGACCATGGAGTCCCAGAATCACAAAAAAGCTCCAGCATAGACCAAACAGGAGGTACTGGATCTGATCGCTGTATGGGGAGACAAATCCATGCTAACAGAACTCCGTTCCAAAAGATGAAATGCTGGAATATTTGAAGAAATCTCCACGGGCATGAAGGACAGAGGCTATAACAGGGACCCG